TCCGTAAAAATAAAAAAAGGACACATTTTTTATTTTCACTAGTACCTTTACTGATGTGGATATTCTGAGTATGCTATCTCCCTCTATTGCTTTCTAGTGGGTAGAGGCCAGAGTTGCTGCTAAGCATCTTCTAATGCATAAGACAGCCCCACAGCAAGAATTATTCTACCAAAATGTCAATAAGTACCAAGAAACTCCACAAACCACTTTCGACACATTCAATCAGTCACAGCACCTTGCACCTTCTCCATACACTGCATGAATCTTTCTTTTGCATTTCGATTGTGTTTCTACCTTCCTTGAAATAATAAAACATAATATGCCAAAAATGTTGTGTATTTTTCCATTTTCAATATTAAAATGGCTGCACAAAAATTCACCAATTTTGATTTTTTTTTAAAAGTACGATGATATGATAGCTGTCACAATGTAATCTAACAAAATTGTTTCAAATGAACTTAAAGATAACTAAGCAGTACTGGTGTCAAAGTACAGAAAAACTAAACAAACTTTTTGGCCAACCTAATAACACCAGCTATGGCAAGGATGGGAGACTGTGAATGCTGTCTCCATGCTCATAGTCTACCTGCAGGCAGATAGGTAGACAAAGACTCATGTTCTAAGGTGCCAGCCTCAATTATTATCTCCTTCTGTGATAACTACTTTGACTGCAGACTTCTCTAAAGGTGTGGCCCTGAGTGGCCTTTGCAAAGGTGTACCGTGTGATAATCCCCTCCCTCCACCTTCCCACCTTCTCCCACAGCTGCTGGACCAAGCCTTGCTGTCCAGAAACCAATGTATAAAAATAATCTTTGTATAAATAATCTTTGTATAAATAATCTCGTGTGCTGTAAGGCAATGAGATCCTTTCTGCAGAATGTGAATCAAGACACTGAGTTTTCAGGCAGTTAGTAGTTGACTAATGGAAGGAGGAAGGCTAGAGAGATAGGTAGACCCTGAATTTGTGAACTGCTGATCCTCAACTTTAATTCTAATATAGTTTTCCCATACTTTATTTTGAGGTAACCTACTGCGTGTTTAAAATAAAACTTTCCTTAATTTGAGTCAGTTTCTAGACAATGTTATACACACACCTTCAACAATGGACATAAAGAACTCTGTTGTCCACTTACCAGCCATGTGACCCTGGACAAGTCACTTACCTCTATGAGCCACAGATTCTTCTGCAGTAAAACAATGACCTGCCTGAGAAGATGACTGGGGATATAGGGGCAGGGGAATGTGACTGGTGGAAAGGCACCACATGAAGGATATACTGAGTAAAGGCTATAGGGCTTTTGGTTATAATGACCATGGAAGGCTTCATAAAAGAAAGGACAGTGGAGCTGGACCCTGAATTTGGTGAACAGCTGGAGTTCTCACAGCCCATCTCAACAGTGTAGAGAAGTAACCGCATACTGCACAGAGTCACTTAAATTTTTTGGAGAAATGAGCAGTGTTTTGAACAATTAAGAGACTACTCTCAGAAGGAGAGAGGACTCCCAAGAATAACTACAGGAAATGATACAAAAAGGAACAACAAAGGAACACAGGCAGTAATAAATCCCTTTGGTGAACAATGATGTCTGGTATTGAACTGGAAGTTGTTTTCTGCCCTATGCTATAATCAAACACTCCCTCATTATTTATAAAACCATCAGTAAATGATGTGCACCAGCAAACGCTTTATATTAGTGGTTCTAGGGGTGAATGACAGCTAACTATATTAGGCAGGGTCAAGTGTTTGAGGAGAAATACTATAGGGGCCCAAAACATTAGGAGCTAGTGATGGGGAAGCTGGCAGCAGCCTGGATGTGCCAGAGGGCCATGAAAACCTCAGTCCCCAAGAAATCCTCAACCATATGTATGACCCAAGCCATTTTGTTTATCTATTAAAGAAAAGAATTATCCTACAAGGGAAAAGGATGTGGAAACCCTTGGGTTATACAAAGATGGAGAGAAAATCCTAGAGGCTTCTAGATTAAAAACATGTCCAAACCAAAAAAGAATAAGGTTTCCCATGTAAGAAATGGAAGCAGATTGGCAAAGAAACAACATCTGTGCCACTAAATGCTAGAAGATAATAAAACAATTTTATGGAGATTGAAGGAAAATGATTATCATAGAATTACATGCACACCAGACTGTGGCTTACTCATGAGAGCAAACGAAAGGCATCTTCAAACATGTAAGAATTCAGAAAAATAAGCTATAAAGAGAGTGAGATGCAACTGTTTTATCAGACATAAACCATTGCTTTCAATGAACATAAATCATATTTCATTCATGGACTTCCATCATTACCCATAAAATGAAATAATCTTTTTAGTTCATAAAGAAAATTCTATGAAAATGAAAGAAAAGCACATACAGTAATATCTACACCGGGAGCAAAATAATCTAATGTGGTAGTTACCTTTTATCTGAGGCTCTAGTTCGAACTTGGTATGTCTGAAACAACTAGTAAATACATTATACTCAATTGTGGGGGTAAATTAATTGTTTCAGGCCACAAGGATATTATTTAGTAAATTACTGCTTTGTGCACTGACCCATTCCTAACTGTCTCAGTGATAATTCACCTTTAAAAGGTAAAGCATTTACCTATACATTCCACCAAAAGTTTTTTATTTGTCACTTAATTTAAATTGGCAGAGAATGAAGAAGCTAAGTGTAGAAAAGGAGAGTCAGTTTTCTTAACTAAAAAATTTTTCCCTTAATCTTCACCCAAGGATATGTCTTTTATTGATTTTACAGAGAGTGGAAGGGAAAGACAGAATGACAGAGAAACATTGATCAGTTGCCTCCCACACACACCCTGACCAGGGATGGAACCTACAACTTAGTTATGTGCCCTGATCAGGATGGAACCACAAACTTTTGGTGTATGGAACGATGCTCCAACCAACCTAGCCACCTGTCCAGGTTGCTCAAATTTTCACATTACACACATGAGCCAGTTAAGAAAAAAATATATAGGTTTATACTGATCCATTGGTGCAGTACCTGTAAGTACTAACCCAAATTTGGCAGACATTATCTAAATTTAAACCCAAAAAAGCAGTCCAACAAGCAGAGCAACTTGGATTTTTACTACTCTCTTTATATCTTAAGAGGCTATAATGAATCCATGACATCAATCTCTACCACTAGGGCCTGTGTTATCTGCTCTGGGTTAAGACATTTCAGTTCACTGGGCATTCTTAAATTTTGAGTGAGCATGTTATCATATATTTAATGTGCTGATGTACAAAACTAAACACTGAAGAGGGCGTGGAGATGACTTTGGGTGCTAATCTGGGAACTTCATACAGCCTATAGCAAGGTTGCTGGGGACAGGCCCAGATCAATGGCACAAAGATGAATAATTCTTTGTACTGTGGGCATTCTTAACTGTGTAAGCAAAGAAGTACTAACCAAATCTTCAAAACAAAGCAAAATAGAACTATAGGGGAGGAGGGAAAGTTCTAGGTTTTCTCTAGAAAGATAATGGACAGGCACTGAAGTTTTGGGGTAATCTATCACAGTTGGATCCAGGCCCATTTCTGGCTATTGCTATTGTTTCAAAAACATATCTATCACAGGTAAATTTCTATCACTGCATAAACAAAACTCAGTCTCAAGATTTCTGTAGAATTTCCTTTCCTATCTTTAAAAATAAAAGCATTCTAGACTTGAATTATAACACTAGGTATTGGCAGCTGCCACTGAAATATTCACTGCAAAAATAATTTCTTTAAAAAGTGACTCACAAATAGTATATACATTTACTCAGCTTTTCTTTTTCTTGATCTTTTAATATTTTATAACACATTAAAGCTCAGTAAAAGTTTCTTCCTTAAATAAATCTTCCAGAGGACGTTAAATAGAACATAAATGATTTACACTTCAAATCACCAGTCACTTAAAGAATCCTCTGCATGAACTAAATAAATAAGCCATCTGTGACTAAGGCCTCCCGTATTATGGTTTTTAAGTTGACCCAGTTCTTCATCAGTCACCAGGGTTTGCAAAATCTCACTTCTAAGGGGCATCATGAAATGCTCTGTGCCTGCGCACAGTTTGAATACAACAGGGAAAGGGGTAATGTGAACACCACCTTTAAGGGCGCCAGTGTTTATGTAAAATAACCCCCGTATCCCCTGCTACTAAAAGAACTTCTATAGCCCCCTTAACCGGAAGCAATCTTTTCTCCAACGGAGAGCAAGTCAAGTCTGCGGGAGAGAAAAGGGAGCCCGTGAAAAGGCAGGAGAAAGCCGATCAGGTGTGAAAACGCACTGAGTGCCCTTTGGCCTTGAAGATCAAAAGCCGGCCCTGTAAGCCGGTCAGGGCTGCGCGAGCGGACCCCCAAACCTGCAGTAAACCGGGGGATGGGACCTACTCTTCAGAGCTTTGCAGACACGTTCTGCGGACGCAAGGCAACCCTGCGCGTCACCAAGGGCGGCGGGGCCGGGACCCCCTGGGCGCCCCCAGTCCGACTGGGCTCGAGGCGGGGGCCACGACCGGGGTAACTCAACTTTCCGCAGTTCTCGGCCCGCAGGATCAGGGGCAAATGTAAACCACTCCCCTGCTAGCAGCTTCCCTTTTTTTCTGGTGGTGGCGGTAGCTGGAGGAGGGGTGGGTGGGTTTGCAGGTACTTCAGGAGAGGACGACAATGAGCGAAGAGAGGACGACGACTCCCCACAAGCCCAGCCAGCCATAAAAGGAAGGGGACCGCGCCTCCCCTAGGTCCCACCGAGTCATACTCGGGCCGAGACCGGGGCGGGAATACGCGAGGGCCCGCGGGCCGCACGGCAGGTGACAGCAGTGTTGCTGGTCCCCGCTCTGGGGCCTCCCGCCTCCCCGCCCACCACGGGGCCTCGCCGCCCCGGCGCCACAGAGCCCCGCAGCCGCGCGACCCGACCCACGCGGGGACCCCCGCCCCCTCGGAGCGGCCGCCGGGCGCCTCCCGAACCCCGGGACCCGCGTCCGAGCGGAGCCCGAGGTGCCCGTGCGCCTACCCCTTGGCGTGCTCGGTCTCCTCCTCATTGTCCCCGTCTATCCCGCAAGTGTCCTGGTCGTCGAGCTCCAGACTCTGCTGGCTGGCCGCAGACTCGCTGTCCTCCGCCATCGCGGCGGCGCGGGCTGCGGAGGCGGCACTGGGGCCGGCGGCGACGGCGGCGCGAGCAGCTCCCTCTAGCGCCGCCCACCGTCTTTTCAGAGCCGAGTCGGAGGCTCCAGTCAGGCCTGGGCCCGCCCACCGCGCGGAGGGGCGGGGCTGGGGGTCCGCGCGCAGCCAGGCGGAAGGGTAAGGGGGCTGGAACGGGCGGTGCGGGGGAGACCTGCCGGCTGTGGCAGAAAGCTGTCGGTCGGGCGCTAGGGGCGAAACCTGGAACCCAAGCCTGTCCCGCGTCCCAGCCTTGGGCCCGTCTCTGAATGCCGCAACCTGAATGCAGATGTCAAATCTTGCAGTCTTCATTTTTGGATCACAGATCACACGATTTCACATCTCTACATGTCAGCGAGCCCTCTTCACCATTGCAGAGATTTTTGACTCAGGAGCCGACGTAGCAAGGACAGAGATTTTTAGAAGCCTTCCCCACCCCATCCCCCATGTACATTTTTTAAAAATTCCATTGTATGTCTATAGGTAAATTTCCAATGCCATAGCAAATTTAAGTCAAAGTCAAAACAGGGCTCCCAGCCTTTCCCTCTCCTCTTTCCAACCAGGCTCTCAGCCCTGAACTCTTGACAGAAAAACTCTGGAGCTGTCCCTGTTTTCTCTGTGAAACAGGTAGAATAAAATGTTCCCCAAAACTGCCAGACAAATTGTTCCATCAAGTTAAGCCTGCCAGAATAATGGTAGTTACCAATAGGTAGTTACAAAACAATGGTCCAGAAACTAAGCTGCATTCTTTTAAGTTTGTTTTTCAGATCTAAAGCCAAGCCATCAATCATAGGGTCCAGCTCAATACCTGATGGGGAAAGTGCCTTCCTGCATGCCATAATAAGAACTATACAATCTCAGAGTGCTTAGCTTTGCTGACATACGGGGTCATAAGTGTTCCAAAGAAGGAAAAGCCTGCTAACCTACTGCCTGATTGGTTAACCCCAGCAACTTCCATGTGCCCAAGCTGTAAACACTCTTAAGCCCCACATTTGGGGAGCAGAACCTTGGCCCCTATCTCAGTGTTTTTGCCCTCAGCAGAGTCTCAATAAACCTGCTTTTGTTTTTATCAGTGTCCCTGGTCTAAATTCTTTTACATCAGGAGACAAGAACTCAAACTTGTTGGTAAGAGTTGGATACCACAGACTGTTGGCTCAGACATCTCATGGTGGGGCAGGGGTGAGGAATGGGGATGTTGTCCATGATGCTGGGAAAATATGCTAGAGGACTGGACAGTTTCAGACAGACCAATTGGGCTTTCACTAGTCAAGTTCATGACCTAGACCTCCAAACAAAAGTCAGTGGCTTTCTAGGTTGAACTGATCTCTTCCCGTAAACATGGGTTGGAAAGGGGGTGCTCCGTGGATTGCCACATAAAAGACAGGTGCAGTTGAGACTTCTATTTGCTGTTGCTCTCTGTACACAGCAGCCTTTCCTTTGCTTTGCTGTAATGGGTGGTGTTCAAAGTCTCACCAGGCCATGGAAGGTTTTTCAGAGACAGTGGAAAGATAGTTACCAGAAACTACTCAGTGAGGGAAGTAAGACTTTAAAAAACCACCTGAAATTTTTTTGCATAGGGTATTGAGATCATTTTGTGGCTTTTTTCCCCTGGAAGGGGATCTATACTCTTAAAATGCAATGGGAGATGTATCCAAAGACAAAAACTGCAGAATGATTTCAAAGTCCACCAGCCTTTTATGACAGACTGATATTCCATAAGAAGTGCAAAATGAGGTCAAGACATGAAGGAAATTCAATACTACCTTTCAAAATTGCAACTATTTCTGAGGCAGTAAGTTCCATGTAGCCTCTGCCTTCAAACTTTAGAATAAAAGCAAATAGGGATTAATAAGTTTCCCGAAGCTCACCCCTGTAAACATGAGGAGTTGGGTAACCAGCCTGGTTGGGTAACCAGTAGGTTCCTGACAAAGTCTATGAGATCAGTCACTATAGCCTATCAGAAGTGGCCTCTAAAAGATTTCTAAACTACAAAGCAAAGGAAATTCAGCAGACATATATGTATTTGAATTTTTAAGAAACTTTGACTAAGAACCTCTCAAAAACAATAAGAAAAAAATAATCCCAGGAAAATAAAATCAGACCATCAGGAACTAATTACACACTAGAAAACAATGGCAAACAGGGGCCATATCTTTCCTGGGATGAAAAGGAGTTGGTCCAGATGTCTGTTCAATACCGGATCAAGGTATTATATAATAGAAATGTTTGTCATTGTCAATCATTTGAAGGCAGGCAAAGTTGGCAGATGACCCTGGAAATGATCTTAAATCCTACTGTCATGTGTAGAAATGCACTCTGCTTCTAAAAATGTTCGTGTCCAGTTTACTCCCAGAATTTGGAGAATTGGAACCAGGCAGCATCTTCTGGAACCTCAGGTCTGGGATTTATCTGGGGAGAGCCAGTGCTGTAGAGTGGCTGCCCCAGAGCTGAAAGAGGTGCCTGGGAATTTCCTACCTGCCTGACTCATCCGCTGTAACAGATGCAAGACTGTAGTTGCATAATTGGTCATGTTTTATTTAAACTATTAAAACTTTTGCTTTCTAAAAACGTTATAGTAATATACACATAACAAAATTTGCCATCTTAACCATTTCTAAATGGTTAAGTTCAATAGTGTTAAGTATATTCACACTGTCACGTAAGCAATCTTTAGAGCTTTTCATCTTGCAAAACTGAAACTATTCAGATTAAACATCTCCCTCTTTTCCTCTTCCCTCAGCCCTGGGCAACCACACTATACTTTCTATCCCTGTACACTTGACCACTCACTTTATATAAATGCGCAGTAATCATACAGTACTTGTCTTCTGTGAATGGCTTATTTCACTCAGCATAATATCCTCAAGGTTCATGTATGTCGTAACATGTGTCAGAATTTCCTTCTTTTTTAAGGCTGAATAATATTCTATTGTATGTATGTATGTACTACATTTTTCTTATCCATTTATCCAACAGTGGACATTTGGGTTGCTTCCACATCTTGGCAACTGTGAATAATTCTGCCACGAACATGGGTGTATAAATATCTGTTTGTAACCCTGCTTTCAATAATTTGGGGTGTATACACAGAAATGGAACTGCTGGGTCATGTGGTAGTTCTATTTTCAATACTTTGAGGAAACACCATGCTGTTTTCCATAGCAGCTTCGCCATGTTACACTCCCATCAACAGTGCACAAGTTAGGGGGTGGGGTAGGGGGTGGTGAACCGAACTTTTAATAATGGGGAGTAAATGTGTCTGCTCATTGCTCCAAAGAGAGACACCATCTCTCCCTTCCAAGGCTATTCACTGTATAATTATCCTTATAAACATTGTCCAGAACAAAGAACGGTCAAGTGTTTTGCTTTCGAGATGTGGAGAAATATGAGTGACCCTCGGAGAATTGTCTCTGAACGGTATGCCTTATCTCCTCAACTCCCTTACGATCTTCTTGAAGTCAGCAACCATGCCCTACTATTTCTATAATCCACATCTCCAGTGAGCTGATAGTTGTCCCAAAAGATATGTCTGTGTTCTCTCCCCCTGTAAATGTGCCCTTGTTTGGAGAAAGGCTCTTTGAGGTTGTAATTAACATCAGGATCTCAAGATGAGATCACTTGATGAGATCCTGGATTACTCTGGTGAGTCTTAAACCCAATGACGGGTCCTTCTGGGAGTAAAGCAGAAGGGGAGATTAGAGAGACCAAAGAGGAGGTGGTGAGTATTTGGGAGTGCTACTCCTTTGATGGGCTTCGGAAAAAGAAAAATTAAGAATGCAACTGTTGCTCCTCATCCCTTCTGTGGTTGAAAAGCCATTGTCAGAAAAATAAATAAGTCCGATGAGGCACGGGGACTTGGTAGACGTTTCCGTGATGAGGGTGAGGGTGTGACACACGTGCCACAGGGGCAGGCAGCCGGGGGAAACAGGAGAAGGGTACCGGGCTGCACGGTAGAACGCCAGGGACATTCCAGGCTCAGTCCCTACTAGCTATGTGACCTTTGTAAGTCTCTAAACCCTGTAGAGCACAGGTGGCAAACACAGGGCCTGTGGGCCATCCACCTTGTTTTATCTGGCTTGGCTCTCACTTATCTGCCAAGGGTAGTTACGTGTATACAGTCCTCAAATTACATTCGGCCCTTTGAAGGCAAAGGTGAGGCTGGTGTGGCCCCCAGTGAAAACGAGTTTGATACCCCTGCTGTAGAGAGTCAGTTATCTTACCTATACAACGGGACATTGTTATCTACCTTACCTGTACCACGTGGTTACTATAAGGTTCCTCAGCTAGCTATACAAGAAGTGGTGCAAAAGGAAGTACTTCAGAGATTGTCAAGCACAAAACAGATATATATGAGGCCGGAGATAGAATAGGAAACCCTGAGACACTGCAGCTGTCATCAGTCAGCATCCTGATTTCTGAGATTCACCTGGTCACCCCTGATAATCATTATCATTGTGGTTTCCTCCCTGAGTGGGCAGTCAGGGAGGATGGTGGGGAATTGCATGCATAGAAGCTTAAGTAAAATCCCTATAAAGTCTGTAACCCCTCAATAGAAGGGAGCCATTCCCTGGCCAGAGAAGGCCTACTCCCATTTCTTGGGAAGTGTTTCCCTTAATAAATGTCCCACTTGTTTTGTTTTACAATATCTGTATGCTCAGTCCAATTCTTTGTTCACAACCACCAAGAGCCTGGTGCTATCTCCAGCTGCAACATATGGAATTAACACAGGCTGGGCAGGATGTCAAGCACGGCAGCGCTTACCTTCCAGGAAAATACTGTACGTTTGTCACTGTCCACTGTTTTTTTTTTAGAGCTCTGTTGAAGTTTACACATTCAAGTAGTCTAGTTTAGCAGGACAGATAGGACATCACAGGACAGCTAGTATGTTTTCTGGAGGAGGTGGGCTTTGAGATGAATTTGGAATAAAAGAAAGACTTCTTGGATCTTGGGTAGAGAGCAGGATTGTCTGATGACATGTCAGAGGAGAAATAAGAAAACCTAACGCCTTTTTGCATAATCGGCAGGGAAAG